CGTACCATCACAGTATCCTTCATACTATCAATGTCTCCCCCCTACATTTTGTCATGGCTGCAGCATGACAGTTCCATAATACCCAGGATTAAACCAAAATCCGAGAGTTCTTAAAAAAGGCACGTCCATTTTGTTTGTTGGCGGGTTAATAAACAATGATGACTGTGCCAAGAAGGTATTTAAGTTGTGAGCTATGAGATTTTTAGTATTAAAGCCAAAGGATTATAAATAACAACTAAGTTGAGACATAAGCATATCCGTAAATTATAACTGATAAGTGTTTAACGAACTGTGGAAATAACAGTTTTTAATGGTATTCACTGAAATGTACCTTACACACCGCTGTACCAATAATGTTAACAAACGCAGAAGCTTTAGCATGAAGCCAATGCCCTGTAGAAAAACATTAAGTATATGACAGCCTCGAAATGGTGTACAAATAATCAGTCCTTACCTTCAAATGTGTCACAAAATAGTTATATAGTTTTTGGCTATATATTCTACACTAATGACACAGGGACTTCAACCTATGCCTTCCATTATAAAATCTCTCCATAATTAAGGTCCTAACACAAAAAAAATATGAAAATGTTTCAAGATATAAAGCAAGGGTATAATATTCCGGCTAATGCCACGTTACGACTAACTTGGCGGACATACCCACCAAGTGATGCCTCCAGTAAAACCACGTTCTATAAAGCCTCACAATTCGAGTAGCCAAGTTTTCTAAATGATTTGGGTCATCAAACTCCCTTAGGACTTCCCAGAAAATGTGCAGACTGACTTGAAAATTGTAATAATACATTTTAAACGATTCGATCGGGTACGATTCGAACCCACAGTCACGCCAGTCCCAAAAATCTAGCAGCGCAACAGTAGCTACTAACTAAACCACGTTGGACTAACACGGTAAAGTGGTTAAAATACTGACTCTGTTAGTTGTAGGACAAATTTTTTCCATTGGTTCGAATCCTGACTAATTACGTGATGGGTAGATCTAACCCCTGATCAACAAAAACACAAATCAATACCAAAGACATTAAATTTAACAAACCCAGCGATCGCTGCTCATGGCGCCAACCCTTGTTCAAATTTACATAATCTCCTACCACTCTACACAACAACTAGGTATGCTTAGACCTGAATCACCTCCTTCAGTTCCAAGTCAGTGTTTAAGGACACAGAACCGATTTAACTAGCAGGGATGGTAGATAGGCTCCGGGACCCATAGCTGAAAATTAAAGTCTGTGTTTATGGCAAGATGTATTTATTCTTTCAAGTTCTCCATTACAAAAAGAAAAAAAGTAAGCCGTGTGTCATTTGGAGAAATATATACACGTCCTAACAAAAAAAAAAAAAAGATAGATTTTCATAACTCACTAGTCATAATTTTCTTTCTCTCCCATATCTCTCTAATATAGTTCCAGGCACGGTATTGTTCCTACACTGTTCCTGGCACAAAAAGCCCTCGAGAGAAAGACGCTGTTCCTGCATCCTGTGTACCTAATACCGGCGCCGTCTGATGAAAGCCATGTTCGAGGTACCCGTGAGAATAATTTAGCTACGTCAACCCGAACTGCATCGTAATTAATACTCAATATTTTTATTATGTTAATCAAATTTAATTGATCATAACGGAGGTGTATATAAAAAATCGATTTTAACTATCTACGACAAGGAAATTTTATTTGATTAAATTTTATAGTTAAAACAGCCTGTATTTTATAAATTTTGATAAACTTTTAAATGAATAATATATAGACATATTTCATAAATTCACTTCGAAGTACAGAAAAAATAAGTTGAATTAACCTATACAGGATGCCAGACTTTCTTGGTACACATCCCCCAGAGATAGAGCAGTATAGATTTCATCAGGAGCCGACGTTGGAGGCGAGGTACTGGTTCCAGCCAAAGTTCCACTCCTTCTCACCACCAGCAGCAATAGCGGTGCAGTACACTGTGCTCTTCAGGTTGGGCGACACGATGCTGCGTATATGATTAAAAACAGAGTTGTTATCCACATAAAATGTATTCAAGCATTCAACAGCAATTACAGGAGAAAATACGAAGTTCTTTAACTGTATCTGAGTTTGTTTATAAAAGTTACCTGCGGTCACTTGGGTTCTGCATCCACTTTTGGTAGAGGGAAACAGAATATTGACACAGTCCGGTACTCCTAGTTGCAAGCCCACTCAGTGCCTTGACCCGCTTGAACTGTTCCAGATGAGGGTCATTCATGTTGTCTTGGAAGCCGACAGACTCGTACAGAGGAGTCAGGAGGGTGAGCAAGTAGTTCTGATCTCCGGAGTCTGGTAAGATTAAAAAGCACTTACAAAACTCGACTTAGATACTCCACGTTATACAGGCTATCTGAAAATTGTTATGGCCAAGAATATGATGAAATAGAGCCTTTAATCTGCGAGATCAAATATACACTAAAGATGCCTCATAATCCTTGTACATTTTTGCTTTATTTGGTGTACAAAGTCACCATTGCCCCAAACTATAAACAGAAACGACCTCCTAGTAAATTCACAGCTCGATATCTATAAATTTAAATTGGTACAAAAAACTCTAGGAAATCCTAGATTATTACCAATGTCCTTTCTGGTCAACAAGATGGACAGAAGGGCCCTGGTTTGATGCTGGAAGTGTGACGTGGGTACACAATAACGATATAACTTTATATCTATCTCTCATCAATTTAACTGATGTAACGACTACTTAATAGCTCCATAGTTTCGCTAACGGGTAAACATTCTCTTGATGTAGTTTGGAGGTGTGGGACAAAATGCAGACTCCCATGGGACGTACTCTTCCCGTTTTTCAATAGTATTCACAACTAAACACCATACTCTATTATAGGATAACTGAACCTGGTAGGAACATTTAAATTAAATTTATAAAAAATTAAATCCATTAATTTTAATAAAGATTGATACTGACATTAGGTAATAGTTAAATAAAAATTATATGTCGATGACTTTTTTTCAATTATGTTGTGAGGGCATTAGGTTGACATTTGGACAACAGATATAATTGGTATATGCTGTTTTGATTATAATTATGTTTTATTTAGATCTATCAATAAATGTGTTGCAATGAATTTTTACTGCACAAATGGAGTGCATTATCAGGTAATGCAATTCTGGGTCTGGGTTAGGAAACAAGTAGAGCAGTGGAACCTAGCCCATCTTTCACTATGGATAGATAAGAAACTGGTGTATCTATGAGGTTCTTTGTAAATGATTCAATCTACTTAGTGTCTGTAAAGTGGCAGACAATGTGGAAAATTATCGGATTACTTTTAAATCCTGTCGATTTAAAAATAATCTTTTATTAATACTTACAAAAAAGTGTTAAACCCACGTGAGGTATATTACTTTCTTCTTTAATAATTCCCTGTTATAGTGTATAGCATAACAATTTGGGATATTCGTGCATAGTTAAACTATTTGGTTTAAATAGTTTAACTATGCACTCTGGCTGGCACCTTGAGTGGACGGAATTTGAAGGATTTTCTTCCCACCAAAAAAGACTGCATTGAGTCTTCACACTTACTGCCACAGAAATATACATTTGAGAGTAATTACTATTTATATAATTGTTAGTAAATTTTATTATTATTATTATTATTATTATTATTATTAAAATTATTATTATTATAAGGAAATTAAGTTATAAACCAGTAAGGGTTGTAGAGCGCTGCAAATACATCATGATAAGTATATCTCCTTGTGTTTAATACGCTGATAGTTTAGTTTACAAACACTAAGTGTCTCACTGGATCCTGTCCAGCCACACAATGTGCTGTTAGGTGTGGCTTGAGGTTCTCATCAAGCCACAGTTGTGATAAAGTTATAACCTTTTACATAACCTCCGTTAGGAATATACGTAAATATCATTTGTTTCTAGCTCTAAACGTTTTTAAGTTGAAAAATTCAAACTGATGGAAAATGCATCTTTTAGTTTCACCTAAAATTTTATTTCATTATTTTCGTTTTGGATTTTCCGCATCTTACTTGGTGTTATAATAACATTTTCCTATGTAGAGTAATTATAGGTCCTTAAGAAAAGAGAAGTGGAGTCATTGATTTATGCAAGTTGCATTATTCAGATGATATAAAAAACAATAGCCTTTGTAGAGCAATACATTTCTTGTTTTTAGTGTTATTTAATGCATCTTCTTTCTTTTTATTTGGAACTTTAACTGCAATGTTATCTTTTCTAACAAATTCAAAACAGCTGAGTATATTTTTTTACAGATACTTGCAAAAGACAAACTTATTAAAAATCTGAAACAAATGTCTTATTTTCATTAAACAAAACAATAACAAAAGATATGGCATACTAATAAGCATCAAAATAATAATCTATTATTTGAAGTTGTTTAAAAAAGTGACTTTACCAAAAAAAAACTTCAGAAAAAAGACTATTCCCTCACATTAAAACAAAGACGTACCAGCTTGTGACAGGTCCATGGGTACGTCGCAGATAATTAGCAAACGGTTTATCAAATGGATAACTTGGTGGATCTTTGCAGTATTTGCTGAATGAGCAAGTTCCAGTTGCGTCGGTCATAGTTCCACATTATATAATAACCTGTCTCCTGTAAGTTGAAAGATGACCCACAGCGTCCTTCCTTGGCAGAGAAAGAGACTGGTGATCCTTGTCTCAGAATCCTTCATCCAAACTTTGTTTGATAGTGTGAAATTAGGGTCTTCTTGTACTTCCGTGTGTATTTTAGTGGAACCCACCACTAGTAGTCATGGGAGTCTGACGAGTTCTCGTTCCTTTACCATCAAAAATCGTTCCCTGTTATAAATGAACTTACGATATGTGTTGGTGTTTGGGCAATTCTACCAATGTTATAGAGTTTTTATCTCTTGAACATCAAAACATTGGTAACATTATAACCTGAGTGAGTTTTGCCGAGGTGGCCGTCTGTGCTCCTCACAACCTTGATGCCAGGGTAACCCATTCCTGCAAGACGCCAGGGTGTCCATTACTTCCTTGACTGACATATCTGGCGGCAGTGTGGCATCTTCATGAGCAGCTTTTGTCAGGTACTGCCACAGGTCGTCTTGCTCAGCACTTTTATATTTCCTGAAATATTCAAGCTGCATTATTTTTGCAATGCTGAATAGAAGTGTTGAATAAAAATTAAATTCTCTTCTGAAAATGTTTCCGAGCTAGAATGTATGTAATGTGCAAAAATTCCTAATTTAACTATGTACATATAGATTATATATTTAGGTTTGTTTCACTTGGTAATCATATTTTCTGTACATTTTATTAAACAGTTAGACGATTTAAAGGCATAAATAGATTCAGGCTAGCTTGCGAAATACATAAACTATATTTGTGTGCAATACGTGTGAGCTTATATTGTCCTTCCTCGTGTCTAAAGTAGACAGGCATTTGAGTAATGCATCTCTATTTTTAAAGTTATTTCTATTTTTTAGTCTATATAATTCAGTGAAATTCTATAAGTATTAATTCTTATTATGACATATGAATTCATCGATAATGGAAAATACATATACAGTGGCTCCTCGGTTTTCGAGCGTTCCGGAAATCGAGTAATTCGGATTTAGAGCACTTTTTTCAGCAAAATTTCGTCTCTGATTTCGAGCATCCGCTCGGAAATCGAGTGTCTGAAACGCGTTCACCCTGTTGGGGACACCACTTCCTCACATGTATCACACTCAGTCTGCGTCTGTCTCTCGTTGAGTAAGGAATACTCTGCACATTCATCCATTCATTTTAGTGCTTGTTTATTGATTGTGACTGTGAAATAAGCCAACATGGGGTCAAAGAAAGTTCAGAGTGCCACCCCTTCCAAACAATAAATCCCCCCTCTCTCCTCCTCCCCCCTGTCTTCCATACGCCAATAAGAGCCTTCAATACAGGTGTGTAATGTTTATACTGTTTATTTATATTTATTTATAATTGTTTTGTGTATGTAAAACTATAGTTTATCTTTAAAAAATTATTTTCTTTGTGACTACTTTTGGGTGTCTGGAACGGATTAATTAGATTTACATTATTTCTTATGGGAAATATTAATTTGGTTTTCGAGCATTTCGGATACAGAGCAACCTTCTGGAACAGATTAAGTTGGAAAACTGAGGGTCCACTGTATACTAAATGTCTCCCTGACTGTGAGAGTAAGCAGTACGAAAATTTAACAAGATAACAGAGGTAGGTCATTTTCTCTCTCCTTCAGAGATAAAGGGATAAATAACGTATCTCCCATCATAATAATAATAATACTGATGCAGACCTGTCTGACACCATTGGCATACTTTAGTGTGATCAACTGACTCTTCGTGCCATTTAATTCTGTCAATACTAAGTTCCTTTTTTTTTGCTCCTGAAAATTATGATTTGCAGTATGTTTTTCTTTTTGTGTTTTTCTTCTTTTTGAGTGTGTTGTGTTTTTCTTCTTTTTGTGTTTGCTCTGTTTTTCTTCTTTTTGTGTTTGTGTTTTTCTTCTTTTTGCATTGTGTTTTTTCTTCTTTTTGTGTTTGCTGTGTTTTTCTTCTTATTGTGTTTGTGTTTTTCTTCTTTTTGTGTTTGCTGCCTATTTACAAGGCAGGTGACAGGTCCTTGGCTTCGAACTATAGATCAATAAGCCTTACCTCCATAGTGGGAAAATTTATGGAATCAATAATTGCCGAAGCAATTCGTAGCCATCTTGATAGGCACAGATTGATTAACGAATCTCAACACGGTTTTACAAAGGAGCGTTCGTGTCTTACGAATTTACTAACTTTTTTCACTATGGTGTTTGAGGAGATAGATCATGGTAATGAATATGATATTGTGTATATGGACTTCTTAAAGGCTTTCGATAGAGTTCCACACCAGAGGCTATTGAGGAAACTTAGGGCACACGGAATAGGAGAAATTTCTTCCTGGGTAGAGGCATGGCTGACAAATAGGCAGCGGAGACTTTGCATAAATGGGGAGAAATCAGAATGGGGGCACGTCACAAGCGGTGTTCCTCAGGGGTCAGTGTTGGGCCCGTTGTTGTTCACAATTTACATAAACGACATAGATGAGAGAATAAATAGCGGCATAAACAAATTTGCTGATGACACCAAAATAGGCCGTCCAATTCATTCTAATGAGGACACTAGAGCACTCCAGGATGATTTGAATAGATTGATGCAGTGGTCGGAGAAGTGGCAGATGCAGTTTAATATAGACAAATGCAAAGTTCTAAACATTGGACAGGAAAATAACCATGCCACATATAAACTAAATAATGTAGATCTTAATACTACTGATTCCGAAAAGGATTTAGGAGTTCTGGTTAGCAGTAATCTAAAACCAAGACAACAGTGCATTAGTGTTCGCAATAAAGCTAACAGAATTCTTGGCTTCATATCTAGAAGTATAAATAATAGAAGTCCTCAGGTTGTTCTTCAACTCTATATAACCTTGGTTAGGCCTCATTTACACTATGCTGCTCAGTTCTGGCCACCGTATTACAGAATGGATATAAATGCTCTGGAAAACGTACAGAGGAGGATGACAAAGATGATCCCATGTATCACAAATCTTCCCTATGAGGATAGACTGAGGGCCCTGAATCTGCACTCTCTTGAAAGTCGTAGAATTAGGGGGGATATGATGGAGGTGTATAAATGGAAAACAGGAATAAATAAAGAGGATGTAAATAGCGTGCTGAAAATTTCCAGCCAAGACAGGACTCGCAGCAATTGTTTTAAGTTGGAAAAATTCAGATTAAGGAAGGATATAGGAAAGCACTGGTTTGGTAATAGAGTTGTGGATGAGTGGAACAAACTCCCGAGTACAGTTATTCAGGCTGAAACTTTGTGTAGATTTAAAAATAGGTTAGATAAATACATTGAGTGGGTGTGGGTGGGTGCGAGTTGAACCTGACTAACTTGTGCTGCTGGGTCTGGTGCCGTGCTCCTTCCTTGAGTGGAGGTGACCAGACTGGGTGGGTCATTGGGCTAAACGGGGAGTGGTAATTGGGCTATTCCGGGGGGGGGGACATGGACCTGCTCCGCATGGGTCAGTAGGCCTGTTGCAGTGTTCCTTCTTTCTTATGTTCTTATGTTCTTATGGTGTAGAGGTGACCTGCATAATTGACATGATTCTTGTGTATATAAGAAGCTTTACATCATATTAACCAACCCATCCAATGAAAAAAATTAATAATCCTCAATGCCTTCTGGAGACAATAGCTTAGCAAGATATATTATCCACATAAAGGAATATATACTTACAGACCGATGAGGTAGTTAGAGAGACCCTTCCTTAACGTTTTCTCCGTCAGGAAGAAGTTCATCATGCGAATAAGAGATGCTCCTGTGTGAGGGACATTGATGTATTATTCTCAGAAGCTAAGCACGCCACACACATCACACACAAACTTAAAACTAATATTTTCAAAGACTACATATTTCATACGACACTCATTATGAGTGTTCTTAGTCTCTTGGTTATATATTAATCTGTAACATGAAGCTTTTTAAGTGGTTCTGGTAAATGAGGGCTCAGTTAGGTTACAAACTAAAGTCAAATACATTGTCATTTAGAATAAATTTCTTGCATCTTGATAGCTGGAATATGGGAAAAAATCACGAGATGATTGACCAACGCAAAAAAATTGGGGTAGTGGTAACAAAAAGTCTGTTGATAATCTGTAATAAATTAATCTCTTCTTAGTGTGTACGACAAGAGTTACTTTTTTGGTATGATGAAGAGAACGTACAATGACTACTACCGTAAGAACGACGTTCTTGGTAAGAAAATTTAATATAATCAGCCAATAAGCTAAAAATTAAGTTTACTTTCATTTCACACTTTTGTTACTCTGCTTTCTTTTATTCCAGTTATTTGTCCTGCTCTCTTCTTTTCATTAATTTTACATACATCAATTATATATATTTAAATATATATATATATATATATATATATATATATATATATATATATATATATATATATATATATATATATATATATATATATATATATATATATATTTATTATCACACTGGCCGATTCCCACCAAGGCAGGGTGGCCCGAAAAAGAAAAACTTTCACCATCATTCACTCCATCACTGTCTTGCCAGAAGGGTGTTTTACACTACAGTTTTTAAACTGCAACATTAACACCCCTCCTTCAGAGTGCAGGCACTGTACTTCCCATCTCCAGGACTCAAGTCCGGCCTGCCGGTTCCCCTGAATCCCTTCATAAATGTTACTTTGCTCACACTCCAACAGCACGTCAAGTATTAAAAACCATTTGTCTCCATTCACTCCTATCAAACACGCTCACGCATGCCTGCTGGAAGTCCAAGCCCCTCGCACACAAAACCTCCTTTACCTCCTCCCTCCAACCTTTCCTAGGCCGACCCTTACCCCGCCTTCCTTCCACTACAGACTGATACACTCTTGAAGTTATTCTCTTTCGCTCCATTCTCTCCACATGTCCGAACCACCTCAACAACCCTTCCTCAGCCCTCTGGACAACAGTTTTGGTAATCCCGCACCTCCTCCTAACTTCCAAACTACGAATTCTCTGCATTATATTCACACCACACATTGCTCTCAGACATGACATCTCCACTGCCTCCAGCTTTCTCCTCGCTGCAACATTCATCACCCACGCTTCACACCTATATAAGAGCGTTGGTAAAACTATACTCTCATACATTCCCCTCTTTGCCTCCAAGGACAAGTTCTTATATATATATATATATATATATATATATATATATATATATATATATATATATATATATAGAGAGGGAGAGAGAGAGAGAGAGAGAGAGAGAGAGAGAGAGAGAGAGAGAGAGAGGAGAGAGAGAGAGAGAGAGAGAGAGAGGGAGAGAGAGAGAGAGAGAGAGAGAGAGAGAGAGAGAGAGAGAGAGGCTAAAACATGGGTTCGATCCCCTGGCTAGTCGCAGTGTTGTTAATGATTAAATACCACTCGTTCGTGGTTAATATACTATATAATATACTGCTTATGGAGGCTAGTACAGCAAACGGGGAGTAGAATGAAATTGGGTCTGAGACACCCACACCATCGTATATCCTCGGATCAAGGTACATAGCTCTGCTGGGTGCGTGATTCTTTTAGAACTGTTTATGTCCCGTGGGTTAGAGCGTCGTTGAATTTTCGCTCACCGTGAGGAGGGCTAAAACAGCATGGGATCGATCCCCCGGCTAGTTGCAGTGTTGTTATTAATTAAATGCCACTTGTTCGTGTTTACAATACTATGTATACTGCTTGTGGAGGCTAGTACACCAAACGAGGAGTACAATGAAATTAACTCTGAGGCACCCACACCATCGTATATCCTCGGATCACAGTACAACAGCTAGCTCTGCTGGGTGCGTGATTCTTCTAGGATTGTTTGGTCCCGTTGGCTGAAGTGTCGTGTTATTTTCACTCACCATAAGACGAGCTAACACAGCACGAGTTCAATCCCCCGGCTAGTCGCAATGTTGTTATTGATTAAATGCCACTCGTTCATGGTTACAATACTATGTATACTGCTTGTCGAGGCTAGTACACCAAATGAGGAGTACAATGAAATTAACTCTGAGGTACCCACACCATCGTATGTCCTTGGGTCACGGTACAATAATTTGCTCTGCTGACTGCGTGATTTTTGTAGGATTGTATGGTCCCATGGGTTAGAGCATCATGGAATTTTCACTCACCATGAGGCAGGCTAAAACAACATTGGTTCGATCTCCTAGCTATTCGCAGTGTTGTTATTGATTATATACCACTTGTTCGTGGTTAAATACTATTTGTACTGCTTGTGGAGGCTAGTACACCAAACGGGGAGTAGAATAAAATTAGCTCTGAGGCACCCACAACATCGTATGTCCTCGGATCACGGTACAACACCTAACTCTGCTGGGTGCATGATTCTTGTAGGATTGTATGGTCCCATGGGTTAGAGCATCGTTGAATTTTCGCATATCATGAGGCAGGCTAAAGCAACACGGGTTCGATTCCCCGGCTAGTCACAATTTTGTTATTAATATATAAATATATAAATATATAAATATATATATATATATATATATATATATATATATATATATATATATATTATTTATATATGTATATATATGTATATATATATATATATATATATATATATTATATATATATATATATATATATATATATATATATTATTGGTAGTAGGTTGGTAGACAGCAACCACCCAGGGAGGTACTACCGTCCTGCCAAGTGAGTGTTAAAACGAAGCCTGTGATTGTTTTACATGATGGTAGGATTGCTGATGTCTTTTGTCTGTCTCATAAATATGCAAGATTACAGGCATGTCTTGCTACTTTCTACTTACACTTAGGTCACACTACACATACATGTACACATTTATTTATACACACTCATCTGAGTTTTCTTTGATTTTATCTTAAATAGTTCTTGGTCTTATTAATTTTCCTTTTATATCCATGGGGAAGTGGAATAAGAATCTTTTCCTCCGTAAGCCATGCGTGTTGTAAAAGTCAACTAAAATGCCGGGAACAATGGGCTAGTAACCCCTTTTCCTGTAAAGATTACTAAAAAGAATAAGAAGAAGAAAATTGTCAAAGTGGGAAGTCTGAATGTGCGTGGATGTTGTGCAGATGATAAGAAAGAGATGATTGTGGATGTTATGAATGAGAAGAAGCTGGATGTCCTGGCTTTAAGTGAAACAAAGCTGAAGGGGGTGGGAGAGTTTCAGTGGAGAGGAATAAATGGGATTAGGTCAGGGGTTTCAAATAGAGTTAGAGCTAAAGAAGGAGTAGCAATATGTTGAAGGATAAGCTATGGCAGGAAAAGAGGGACTATAAATGTATTAATTCAAGGATTATGTGGAGTAAAATAAAGATTGGATGTGAAAAGTGGGTTATAATAAGCGTGTATGCACCTGGAGAGAGAGAGAAGTGTAGAGGAGAGAGAGAGATTTTGGGAAATGTTGAGTGAATGCGTGGGGAGTTTTGAATCAAGTGTGAGAGTAATGGTGGTTGGGGATTTTAATGCTAAAGTGGGTAAAAATGTTATGGAGGGGAGTAGTAGGTAAATTTGGGGTGCCAGGGGTAAATGTAAATGGGGAGCCTTTAATTGAGCTATGTGTAGAAAGAAATTTGGTAATAAGTAATACATATTTTATGAAAAAGAGGATAAATAAATATACAAGGTATGATGTAGCACGTAATGAAAGTAGTTTATTAGATTATGTATTGGTGGATAAAAGGTTGATGGGTAGGCTCCAGGATGTACATGTTTATAGAGGGGCAACTGATATATCGGATCATTATTTAGTTGTAGCTACAGTTAGAGTAAGAGGTAGATGGGAAAAGAGGAAGGTGGCAACAACAAGTAAGAGGGAGGTGAAAGTGTATAAACTAAGGGAGGAGGAAGTTCGGGTGAGATATAAGCGACTATTGGCAGAAAGGTGGGCTAGTGCAAAGATGAGTAGTGGGGGGGTTGAAGAGGGTTGGAATATTTTAAAAATGCAGTATTAGAATGTGGGGCAGAAGTTTGTGGTTATAGGAGGGTGGGGGCAGGAGGAAAGAGGAGTGATTGGTGGAATGATGAAGTAAAGGGTGTGATAAAAGAGAAAAAAAGGTAGCTTATGAGAGGTTTTTACAAAGCAGAGTGTTATAAGAAGAGCAGAGTATATGGAGAGTAAAAGAAAGGTAAAGAGAGAGTGGTGAGAGAGTGCAAAAGGAGAGCAGATGATAGAGTGGGAGAGGCACTGTCAAGAAATTTTAATGAAAATAAGAAAAAATTTTGGAGTGAGTTAAACAAGTTAAGAAAGCCTAGGGAAAATATGGATTTTGTCAGTTAAAAAACAGAGTAGGGGAGTTAGTAGATGGGGAGATGGAGGTATTGGGAAGATGGCGAGAATATTTTGAGGAACTTTTAATGTTAAGGAAGAAACAGAGGCAGTAATTTCATGCACTGGTCAGGGAGGTATACCATCTTTTAGGAGTGAAGAAGAGCAGAATGTAAGTGTGGGGGAGGTACGTGAGGCATTACGTAAAATGAAAGGGGGTAAAGCAGCTGGAAACTGATGGGATCATGACAGAAATGTTAAAAGCAGGGGGGGGATATAGTGTTGGAGTGGTTGGTACTTTTGTTTATAAATGTATGAAAGAGGGGAAGGTACCTAGGGATTGGCAGAGAGCATGTATAGTCCCTTTATATAAAGGGAAAGGGGACAAAAGAGACTGTAAAAATTATAGAGGAATAAGCTTACTGAGTATACCAGGAAAAGTGTACGGTAGGTTATAATTGAAAGAATTAGAGGTAAGACAGAATGTAGGTT